AAGTTCTGTCTCACCTAAATCAGAGTATGAAATGAAACGCACACGTGTGGGTAGAGCTGATTTGGCATCGCTCAGTCTGCAACCCCTCTTCTCACCCAGCTAAAGCCCCTAGTTTGTGGCCCTGCCTCCTGGCCTGCTTGGGCCACATATCCTACCTCATCTTCCTTTCTGCTCCCAAAGCCCCTTCCCTACGAGTGAGCAACTGAGCAATTTCATGTGTTGAGGATGAAGTCAGCCTCTCTGCTTCTCCTTCGGGAACACAGCACCGGTTTGAGCACAATTCTTAGTCATGACAGACTGACAGGGCCGATGTACGTGAGGCTCTTTCAGAAAGAGCCTTTCCTTCTGGGCTGAGGGTGTAGCACAGGGAAAGAGCGCCTGCCTGGCATGTGTGAGGAGCAGGCCCAGTCCCTGGTGCTGTCCAAGACAAACAAACAAGCAGACAACTGCTTTTCTTAATAGACAAGGCTGGGAAACTGGTTATCCACATGGGGGAGTGTGAAGCTAGACCCCTGTATGCTACTGTATATAAAATTAAACGAAGAATGGATTCAAGACTTAAACCTAAGACCAAAAACTGCTAGAAGAAAAGACAGGGGGAGCACTACAGGACCAAGGTGTGGGCAAAGATTTTGGGGTGTTGAGATCTCAAAAGCACAGGTAAGAAAAGTGAAACTAGACAAATGGGATTATATAGAGCTAAAAGGCTTCTGCGCAGCATGGGAAACAGTCAGCAGAGTGCTGTGAATATGGGTGGGGTCCTGGAACACCATGGATGTCATCAGTAGGTCATAGAACCCTGCTGAGGCCTGAGTGACAACTGGTATCATACCAGCCAGGGTATCACACTGAGCGTTATGAAGGACAGTGATCTGGTGAACAGATAGTGCCTTATTTGCTTTTTTTGGTGTATACATTTACTTTCTTATCATTACTAATAATTCTCTGAGAACAGTCTCAGACTCTTACTTGATATCAGCAATTCTGCAAAGAGTTGAACCATGAAACATAAAGAGAAGAAAAAACACCAGAAGAAACTCTTAAAACAACCTGTGAAGAAGTCAAGGGGTACAAGAGGAAAGTTGGATTTACAAGACGTTCTGCAGGGTAGAGCCAAGGTACTGGCCCAAACTCTAGGCCCCAAAGTGGCAGACAGTTCTTCCTCAACCTCAGGGAACGTCTCCTATGAAGACAAATTCTTGGATGCAGAGCTGCACGACTCTCCAGAGGATACTGCTGAGACACATGAGATGGTCCCAAGTTCAAATCTGGATGCAGGAGAGAATTTCTCAGTCTCAAAGCATTTGCCCTGCATCCCTTCTTCAAGCAAGTGCATTCCTATGGACCAGGATGGTCCTGGATCCTCCAAGAGGCTTTTAAATCAAGATTTGATGGAGAGGGAAAATTTCTCCTTCATGGAACATTCCCATTTACCTTTCTCCTTGGCCAATAACCCCTCAGAGTCTGCAACATCTACTGAAAAGAAAAGAGTCCTGAATGTTTACTATAAGCCTGTCCCAACGAAAAGGGGCATGGCTTCCTCGGGGGATACAGAAGAAGATTTGGAGCCCCCTGCAAAGAGGACAAGAATAGCAAAAATGACCTTTCCTGAGAAGATCCCTTCAAAAGCCAGCCTGTCTTCTGTGTGCCCAAGAGACGGCCTAACTGACAGTGAAAATGGCCTGCACGGGGAAGGCCAGGAGGAAAGGGAAGGGGCTGAGAAGCCACTGAGAATCTGGCCCGGGATTCGGGGCTGGAGGACCTGTACAGTGGCTTTAGGTGCATGGTCTGCTACCAGGTCTTCCCCAATATGCGGATGCTTAAGAAACACCTGGAGGATGGGGTCGAGGGTGGTGCTTCAGGCCTTAGTCTTGCATTTGCCAAACTAAGGAACAAAATGAAGCAAAGCAAGAGAATCACAGAGGGGGAGAATGGGAATATGACAACATTTGGAGGCGATATGGAGACACTTTGCAGGTTCTTGTTAGTTTTGGCTTTTTGTAGTTTTTTGTTTTACTATTATAATAAATAGAAATTAAATCATTAAAAAAAAAATTCTTCAGGAACAAAATGAAGCAAAGCAAGAGAATCACAGAGGGGGAGAATAGGAATATGACAACATCTGGAGGCGATATGGAGATACTTTTCAAGTTCTT